TGTTTGTTTTGTTTGTTTGTTTTTTTGGGGGGGTTGACTTGGGAGTAACAGGCTATATGGAAAATTTTTCCAAGAACCTACCAAATTTTAGTCCAACATTAGTTTCTTTTACCATCTCTATGAAAAATATAAAATCTCTCTACCTGCTTAATGCTGAAGAAAGTTCGACAGTCACTAAACGTGCTGAATAACTGGTGCACAGTTGGTTTATTATAAAAAATGAAACCGCTTCCTGCAGTGGTTGAATGTTATGGGTGTACAGTTTTTTACATGAAAGAGGAAGAGTTTCAAAGCCATGACCATGAAAGCACCTGACTGAACACAGGGAGACAATCATAGTCCAGGTTGTTACCTTCTTCAGTGGCTGAGGGGAGAACCTGACTCTGGCCTGAAGGTAAATTAGAAGTAATGGGAACCATCTTAGACTCATGGAGAATAACTCCAGCTGTCATTATTACTATACTACACATCCAAGGTAAGTTTTATAGTATTTAGATTTAAAACCTAGTACTAGACTGCTTATTACAAAAATAATTAAAATGTGTAACTAACACCAATGTTTTATGACAGCAGTAATCAGCACCAAAACCACAGTTTTTTCTGGTGTGGAAGGTGAGAGTTTTGTCTTCAGATGTGAATATCCAAATGGCCTGACGGAGAATTTGAAGTACCTGTGCCGTATTGATGAATGCTCCAGTTACTTGATAATGACAGACAAACATAACCGGTGGGAGACCAAAGGACGCTTCTCCATGTACGACAACACCACTGGAAGCTTCTTCATTGTCAAGGTGGATAAACTGAGGTTAAATGACAGTGGGACGTATCAGTGTGGAGTGGATATCAGCCTCCAACCTGATTATCACAGCGCCATAAAACTGAATGTTTCCCAAGGTATAGTATAAATATTTACACCAAAGTTCTCAGTTGGCTGGCTAAATATGGTCTCCAGTTATGCATATTTCAACTACTCAGAGCAGACTGGTTTCTGGTTAGTGGGAATTGTCCCATAGGACAACCTCAACTGAGATGAAATAAGTAAGTTAGATAAGTTAACTAAGGTTAAAAAATAGAAGGTATATGTGCTGTCCAGCAAGGTGATGAATTCACAGGAATAAAATATTATAGCTCTTATGAATTCTGTTTGTGACCCCAAAAATAATAGGCCATAAATGACATTCATGAGAAATCAGTCGTACTAATTCCATGTTCTGCTTTCATGAGGTTTCTGTTTCTGTAAAGATGTACAGTGGAGTCGAAAAGTTGGACTTACTTTTTATTTTAACTTTATCTTTTAAAATATTTCTATGTAAATGTGAAAATATCTTGAAAAGCTTTAAAGTACACACTTATAAATTAATTTTGTATAATTAACTGACCAAAAGCAAATTTGTGTTATTGATTGTGTTATTGCTTTGTTACAAAAGGTCAGATTCAGTTATCTCCTTTTCATGTAAACAACATTCAAGCAATATTCAAATGTATTTAAGGACATTTTTTCCCCCGTTTAAGCATTAGTGTAGTTTAACGTTCATAGTTTCATAAGTGAAACTCAGAACATAAGGGACTTTCTCGTCAATTGACTGGAGGTTTCTTCTGAGGAAGTAAACAAGACTAAATCATTTGGGTAACATACCAGTATTTCACAGACATGATCGGAAAGGAAGCCATGTCTGCTGCTGAAAGTTTGAGACTTCTGGCCTGAACAGCCAAAATAAATGGAAGCGTTTATGAAGATAAAAAAGGAAAAGAGTGGTGCAGCAGCATATCAGACCAACAGCGAAACAGGGTGGTTAGAGGCTATTTTGGGCTTGAACACGTGCACAGAATCAATTTCACTCTTAGCAAGGAGAAGTGGTACTTCAGTCTCATGAAAACTTTTCCACCCAGTAGTTTACATGCTTGCAAAGAAAAAGTCACGCTGCAGTAACATATTTAGCAATTTGAAAAAGAAAAGCATTTTTAAAAATTGAATAAGAATTCAATTAGAATTTTTAATGCATTTTCCAAGGGTTGGAGGGCCAGAGACTAAATCCCAGCCACTACAGGGTGGCCTTAAGTACACCCTGAACAGGCTGCCAATCGTATGCAGGGCTAACACATAGAGAGAGACAACCACTCACACTATGGGGCAATTTAAAATCACAAATTAACCAAACCTCATTAGTTGCATGTCTTTGGACTGTGGGAGGAAGTCGGGGTACCTCTGTGCATACTTTCATTTTATTTGCTCATTTATAAATTCCTCTTTTTGTATTTTCATTTTCCTGTAAAAGTAATACCAGCCAATAGTGAAGACACAATAGAGAGTAAGTGATGTGTTTGATGTGTTTGTGTGCGCGTGTATTTTCATCTGTTTTTTTAGCACTGAGATTTGTATTTGTGTAAATGTTCCAGCATATGAACCTCAGCTGTTGTTCCACCTGCCGCTGGTCCTGACTGCTGTTATGTGCGTGGCAGCACTCATGTTTGTGTGTCTGTTCACATTATGTCTTCTACTGGTTCTGAAACACAGAAGATCAATCCCACCGCAGAATAAAGAGGTTTGTCCACCACAGACACTTTTAGATATGCTAGCAGTATAAGCAACAGCAAAGTGGTTCAACACTGTACATTTGCAGTTTCTCATTATTAGTCAGTAACATTTATGAAATGTGAAACATTCATGAAACCTAAAGTTATATCGCAATAACAGGTCAAAATGTGAAGAGGATGTCAGTGATGAGTCATAAAGGTAGAACATAACATGTCATAAGCTTACTCTGAAAAACACACCTTCATAAAGGAAATAATAGTAAAATCACTGCATGGAGTTGACAGGCTCTAAAAATACCTTTACCTGGCAAATGTTTTCTGATAACTATTTTCCTAAAGCTAATGTAAGCTGTGTGTTAGCAGAGATACCTACAAAAACAATAACATTGCTGACAAGTTCTCTGCTGTAATAACACAAATAAAAACACTTTGACCAACATAGCAAAAAGTATACAGTAATCTAAAGTTCACTTATCCCCTTAACATCTAGTTTGATACATACAGTTGAGACTTATACAGCATCAGTCTGATTTGAAGATGAATAAATACATTTTAGCAATAAACTGCAATATAAGACAAATTAAAACTCATATATGCATTTGTTGTACATTGGATTGAATTATTTCATGGTTCAGGCTTTAAAGTCTTATCATGTTTATCTTATGAGTAGCAAAATGATTCCCACAAACAGTGTGAGTGAGTGTCACGATCACACATGCATTGTGTCTTAATGCTCATGCCCACTTCTCTGGCCTGATAAAAGGTCTGGATTTTTAGTTTGGAAGCTTTAAAAGTTTCGTTTTTTGTTACAATATGTCCCACCATCTCCACTACTTCTTTGGACATGTTTTCAGATTAGTGGTAGCCGAAGGAATTGACATGGGGGTATGTTCACAAAATACACTGGAGAATGATATGCTTGTTAGCCCTGTAGTGTAGTTGAAATCTGTGTGTAATTACTCGTGTGATGACTTCTTTAATTTTCCAAGTCTCTGCTTTGATTAAAAACTGGTAGTTTTTGAAGATGTATTTATTTCCAATGAACCCTTCCTCTAAGGCAGAGGTTCTCAAACTGTGGGCTGTGTCACAGAAGTGGTGACTTTCCATAGAGTATAAAACCATTTTGATGCTTGTTCATTAAAAACTTTTTTTTACCACTTATCTATTTTCTTTTTCAATAATGTATTTAAAATTAATTAATTAATTGAAAAGGACCAGAGTTGAGGATGAGGTTGATGACCAACAAACTGACTATCGTCCTCACTTTTCCCTTACAAAACATGTGGGAGAATCTTTGGCAGCTGTCACTTGAATGTAATGTGTGGTTTGTCTGCTCTGGCCTACTGAATCTTTTTTTAAAGAAGGCTCTGTAGAAAAGGCTCATTCTAAGCTAACAAAAATACAATCATAAATAGTTACAGGTGATGAATCAAAATCTATATACTCCATGTATGCCTACAGATACACAATAGTGTTGTAATGTGTAATTTGACTGCAGAAAATGCCACATTGTTTACTCAGCACAAAGAAAACATGATCTCACTCTAAGTGTTCTTCTGGTATCTTGCAGATAACGTCTGACTATGAGACTATGATGCCAGGTCTAAAAGCTGAGCCTCAATGTTGCTGCAGCTGTTCGGCCCCAAACTGCAGTGATCCTTCATCTTTACCATTACCACCACCACCTGACCTCTGCTCCAGCTTCCTACCAAAGCATCGGGAGTCTGCTCTCTCATTCGGCGTTGGTGAATATGTTGATGTGGATGTACTAGGAAATATCTGCCAGTACCAACATCTGGATCTCAGCCAGTTAGAAGAGCATGTCTATCACAGTCTTCATGTACATAGTTGTCCTAAACATGAACCTATTAAAGAGGAGATGAACTGTTTAAATGTCAAAAGATAATTCTGGGCTAATCACACCTTAAGTCTTAGTAGTGTGGTTACAATCAGTGATATAGAGTAGCTTGGTAAATCTGTAATTAATAATTCAACTAATGAAATGAAATGACCAATCCTGATGCAGATCCTGATTTAATATATTAGTTTTATCCTTTTACAGTGTTTGAATGACAGAAAGAGCTGAGTAACTCAAAACTTTTGGATCTTTATGCAATTTCTTTAAGTGTATAATTTTGTTTTGTTTAAATGGCAAAAAGAAAAAAGAAAAACAAAAAAATCTGAGTGGATGGTTTAAGCAGTGTCACTGTGCTCTACAATTTTTATAATATTTACCAAAATAAACAAACAGGTTTATATCTGAAGTTTTTCTTGTAGTTATTATTTACTGACCTGTTACCTCTTGATTACTCATTGTGAGAAAAGCGCATGGGAGGGACATGCTGATGGTCATGGTTTTTGGGGAGAGAATCAGACAGAGGAAACTGATGAAAGACAGGAAGTGAAAGGAAAAAGAGGAACCCGTGAAGAAAAGCAGACTTGGTATTCATTTAGAAAGACTCGCAAGGGCAAAGAATCAGGGTGATTAAAGTAAAGCCCAAGGACGGTAACAAAAAGAAACCTTACGTGAAGCATGGAGATGACTGTGATCTTTGTGATATTTCTTTTGGAAGGTAAGTTTACTGTCCTCTTTTAACTGATCATTTTACAAAAACCTTTGCACATTTCATGGGAAATGCCTCATTTGCGTATTTAAACACAAATTTTGCGTAACAAAAATAATTATCAAAGTAGGATTGAGCGATAGTGAGAAACATCATCAAGAAATTCAAAGAGAGTCAAGCAGTACAGAATAATCCTGGCAGACACAAGAAAAGAAATCTTTCAAAGACTTCAAAAAGAAAAGAGATGTGGCTAAAGACCTGAAAACAACTGCCAAGAAATTAGTGAATAACTAAGTTGGGAACTGTAGTTTCAAAGAAGACAATCACTGCAAGGTTGCAGAACAAGAAATATCTTGATGCATGCTCAATCATCCAGGTAAGTAAATCCCCAAGAGTTGATTCTGTTCCTCTGGACGTAGTGTTTTCAATGGGAGAAACATTTGACTTCTTCAGTCTCAGTTGACTGCAGGTTTCCCAATCGTATAAACAGTACATTTGCATTATGACTGAAACTAACACCACTGAAGGAACAATGGGCTGGGAGGTCAGTTCCTTGATGATCTCGGGATGATCTGGCTCTAGAGTTGGCAGTTTGTCTTCTAATCGGAAGGTCGCCGGTTCGAGCCCTGGCTCCAACAGTCTCAGTTGTTGTGTCCTTGGGCAAGACACTTCACCCGTTGCCTACTGGTGGTGGTCAGAGGGCCCGGTGGCGCCAGTGATGTTGCACTCTGTCCGCGCCCCAGGGCAGCTGTGGCTACAATGTAGCTTGCCATCACCAGTGTGAATGACTGAATGTAGTGTAAAGTGCTTTGTGGCCCTTAGGGATTAAGTAAAGTGCTATACAAATACAGACCATTTATCATTTTACCATTTAATATGGAAATTCTCATGACCATTGATCAAAGATGACTGATCAAAGCCCATTGGTCAAAGGCCACTAATCAAAGACCCTCTCTCTGAATGAGTACCATTCAGAGAGAGTTGGGGAATGGCTACAATCACAGCATTGTAAGATGGCGAAAGATGTACCCTTTGCTATCCTACCCTGGAACACCATGAAGTCATTGGTTCACGTATGTGGATGACACCTGGGTGAAAATCAAATCTCAGGATGTTCCACAATTCACGGATCACATTAACTTGGTGGACCAACACATCAAATTGACCAGGGAGGACATGAAAAGTAGCAGGTTAGCCTTCTTAGACTGTGAGATTTCCATCACTAACGGGGGATATCTAAAAGCTGATGTGTACCGTAAACCTACGCACAAGGATTAGTATTTAAGATTTGACTCTCATCATCCACTGGAGCATAAACTGGGTGTCATCAGGACGCTACAACATAGAGCGAATACCACAGCGGCCAGGGAAGCAGAATCACATCAAGAAGGCCCTGAGTAAATGTGGTTATCCCAGCTGGACATTTGTAAAAGCTGAGAAGGCACCTAAAGAAAGTCGATCCAAGAGCGAAGGACAACAGCTGAGATGCATTTTTTCTAAACACCATGTCTCTGTGGCTTTTAAACCTTTTAAACCCAAAACACGCTTCACTAAAAATTGGAGAAACAGAGTAAAATAGTGTACGCTGTCAAGTGCCAGGAGGATTGCCAGGATTTATACATTGGGGAAACCAAACAACCTCTGGTGAAGCGGATGGCACAACACAGAATAGCTACCTTGTCAGGCCAGGACTCTGCAGTCTATTTACACCTACAGGCCAGTGGATACTCTTTCAAGGATGAGGATGTACACATCCTGGACAGGGAGGAACACTGGTTTGAGTGCGGAGTCAAGGAGGCCATTTACGTGAAAAGGGAAAGACCATCTCTGAATCAAGGAGGTGTCCTAAGGGTGCATCTTTCACCATCTTACAATGCTGTGATTGCAGCCATTCCCCAACTCTGTGTGAATGGTCCTCATGGCCTTTGATCAGTGGGCTTTGATCAGAGGGCTTTGATCAATGGTCATGAGAATTTGCATATTAATGATCAAGGAACTGACCTCCCAGCCCTTTGTTCATTCAGTGGACTAGTTTCAGTCATTATGCAAATGTACTGTTTAAAAGATTGGGGAAACCTGCAGTCAGACTGAAGAAGTTACTTTGTTTAGTGATGAAACTTTTCGCCCACTGAAAATGTTACATCCAGATGAATCAACTTTTTGAGAGAAAAAGGCATACTAAAATTCTGCAAAAGACACAGCTTCAAGACAGACTGGAGTATGCTACGGATAACCTGGAAAACCATTATGCATACTGTAAGTGTGTCCTTTGGTCAGATGAGACAAAACTGGAGTTCTTTGGCCACAGACGCGCTGCTTATGTTTGGCGGAAAATGGGACAGGCATACAATCCAAAGCCATCCTCACAGTGAGTATTATGCTGTGGGGATGCTTCAGTGTCTCTTAAATTGGGAATTTCATCAAGGTGGAATAAATCATGAGGAAAGAAGGAAGATTTGAAGATTGTTAAATAAAACCTCAAGCAGTCAGCATTAAAACTGGGTATTGGCTGTTGATTTGTGTTCAAACACATCAACAACCAAAAATAATCATATGTCACTTCTGCTGAAGAACTTCCTCCAGAAGATTAAATTGAAGGTTGTTGACTAGCCTGCACAAAGCCCTGACTTGAATCACATTGAAAGGCTGGGGGGTGACCAAAGTCCATAAGAAATATTAAATCTGGAGGTTAAATCTGGAGGAATTTGAGAGATTTCCCAAAGAAAAATAGCTGGAATTGCTCAACATAAGACTTATTGAAAACTACAAAAAAAAGACTGCAGGCCTTTATCCAGCAAATAAACAACTGACTATTCACATCCATCCATCCATCAATTCACTTCCGCTTATCCTTTTCGGGGTCGCGGGGGCTGCTGGAGCCAATCCCAGCTGTCATAGGGCGAGAGGCGGGGTACACCCTGGACAGGTCGCCAGTCTGTCGCAGGGCTAACACACAAAGACAGACAACCATTCATACTCACATTCACTCGCACATTCACACCTAGTGGCAATTTGGATAATCCAATTAACCTATCCCCACAAACTGCATGTCTTTGGACGGTGGGAGGAAGCCGGAGTATCCTCCCACCGACTATTCACATCATAGTGGCTAATAGTTTTGATTAAAAACTGTTAGTTTTTGGTTTGATTAAATAAGTTGTTTAATGAGTGCAAAGACCAAAAAAAAATGTAAGCATAGCATCTAGAATAAAACTATGTTGATGTTTGAAAAAACAAACTAACCCCAAAACCAAAAATAAGCTCCTTGTTTATTTTTGTACGTAAGCAAAATACTGAATATTAAACTCAGTGATAACAAATTTGCACATAATACTAAAAAAGGTTAATGATTAATGCAATGAAATATGAAAGTTTTCTTTTAACTGTATTTGGTATTATAGACATGGACTCTGTGCTGCTGGGGAGTAAAAAGGATTATATAGTATATCAAATGTAATGAATCATTTTTTCCACACTTGGTTCTGTATGATGCGTAAGAGAGGGCATATTCACAATATGGTTATCTCAGAAACAGAAAGCTCTGTCTTTTAGCTAAGAAGAGCTGCCTACCAACTATTCTTATTTTGTTTTTCTGCAACAGCCAATTCAACGTATGCTGGCTGAAAGGCGGTAGTCCTAAAGAGAAGACAGCAAAAATGGCTTCAGATAGTGGATGAACTACAGATAATACAGAGTATAGTTCAAATATATACTTCTGATTATAAACCACAACATGATCTGACTGTTGGTGCTCTGTGTGTGTGTGCTTGTGTTTTTTCTAGGATTATGGGAGACTAAAGCTATGTCAGTAACAGGAAACAAGGGCAGCTCTATCACAGTAACCTGCTCTCACTCCAACGCCTACTCCACCGTCAAATATTTCTGCAAAGGACAATGCACATATCAAGACATCCTCATAAGCAGCACTACCATTTCAAATAAAAAATACAAAATTGAAGATAAAGGAAATACATTCAGTGTCACTATCTTTGACCTAAAAGAAGATGACTCTGGAACTTACTGGTGTGGAATTGAACGAGTTGGTTTGGACACATATAATCAAGTAATCCTTACAGTTTTAGGTGAGTTGATTATATTCTGTACGTAAAGCTTTCATTATGTTATCTGTTCTGACTTTCAAGTTTCTTGTCATTGACAATAGTATTTCACAACAGGGTCTCAGATTGTGTTTTCTGCACCAGACAGTGAAAAAAACTGAAACACTAGCTCAGCAGAGCTGAGGCAAAATTAACTTACTTCACTTCTTGTTATTTGTGCACAGCTAACCAAGATAAGGCAGCCTATACACATGCTTCTCT